AAATACTATGTACTGAGGAAAGAAAATGGAACAATGAGACCTACTGAAACTACTCTGAGAAGGGAGCAGGGGGGGAAAGGAGAATGACAGAGCAGTGAATCAAACTGAGACATACTGCAAGCACTTTTGTAAATATCATAATGTACCCCCAGTACAATAATATGCTAATAAAAATTAAAATAATAACATAAAAATAGAACTACTGCAGACCCAGCATTCTCACTTCTGGGTATGTACTCAAAAGACATCAGGTTCTTGAAGAGTTATTAGGGGTTCACTGCAGTATTATGCACGATAGTCAAGATATGGAATCTAAGTGCCCACTGAGAAATGAGTGAGTAAACATGGTATATGTACACTATGGAATACTAGTTAAGTCTTTTTTTTTTTTTTTGGCAACACTGGGGTTTGAATTCAGGGCCTCATGCTTGCTAGGCAGGCACTCTGTCAGCCCTTTTTTTTGTGATGAGGTTTTTTTGACATAAGGTCTCAGGAATTATTTGCCCAGGGCTGCTTCAAACTGCGAACCTTCTGATCTCTGCCTCCTGAGCAGCTAGGACTATAGATGTGAGTCATCAGTGCCTGGATACTATTCCGTCTTAAAAAGAAATTCTGCACTATGTAACAACATAAATGAACTTGGAGGACCTTATGCTGAGTGAAACAAGCCATTCACAGAAAGACAAATACTGTGTGATTTATATAGGTATCTAAGAAAGTCAAATTCATAGGATCAGAGAGCAGAATTGTGGTTGCTAGGGACTAGGGGGAAGACGGAAAAGGAAATTACTAATCAATAGGCATAAAGTTTCAGTTAACAACATAAACAAACCCTAGAGAGCTAAGGTATCATACAGTACCTTTATCAAGAGAAAGGCATTTTAAACTTCAAATTTTGTTAAGAGGGTAGATCTCATGTTAAATATTTGTACCACAATAATGTGTGTGTGTGTGTATTTGAATAACATTTTGCTAGAAGAGAGCATATGTGAGTGAAAGAATGGATAAAGTAACAAGAAACTGCATGTGGTTATATAAAACTATCTTTTAAGTGCACAGATACTAAAGTTACATTACCTACACTTGAATCTTATCTCCACTACTTACCAGCTTATGTAACTGGCGAATCACTTAATTTCTCTGTGCCTCAGTTTCTTCCTCTATAGAGTAACAGTTTGTATAGTCAGGCTTTTATAAAGACTAATTATGATAATATTGGTAACATGTTTAGAAAAAGATTCAGCTTCCTCTAGGTTATGCTGTGGTAACAAACCATTCTGGATGTGTTGTCACAAAGTCTTATTCCTTGTCTATGTCATATGTTGGCTACAGCCAGGTGTCTTCTTGATTCTGGGGTCTCCAGGAGCAGCTTCTCTTTTCTCCTGGTAAAGGGAACAGAGGAATGGTGGACCTACGCAATGACTCTGAAAGCTTCTGCTTGGATGAAGCATTCATCACTTCTTTCTGGTGGCTAATGGTAGTCACAGAACAAAGTCTGGTGTCAACAAGGCACACAGAGGTCCAAGAGGGTTGAACCCAGTAGAAAGAGGATGAAAACAGTTTATTTATTTATTTATTGGTAGTACTGGGGTTTGAACTCAGAGCATCACGCTTGCTAGGCAGGCAGGTGCTCTATCACTTGAGCCACACCTTCAGCCCTTTTTGCTGTAATTATTTTTCCAACAGGGTCACCCATTTTCACCCAGGCTGGCCTGGGACCTCAATCCTCCTACCTATGGCTCACACCCAGTTCGTTTGTTAAGATGGGGTCTTGCTAACTCTGCCTGAGCTGGTCTCAAATTGCAATACTCCTGATCTCCATCTCCCTAAGTAGCTAGGATTACAGGTATGAGCCCAGCTAGCTAGATTTTATAAGGAACTTCTATTTTCCAGCTTTATTAAGACATATGCATCATTTCATTTCTTAAAAATCACATGTCCACTAGAACTTGCCTCTTTGTGTGATACCTGTCAAATAAGATATAATCAGCCCTGACTCAGCAGCAATTACTGTAAGGCAGAGTATGGTTTCTTCCAGTTGGTCCAGCATACCTAAGGTCACAATAGAGAAAAGGGGAATGGAGAAGGAGGGGGGACAAGGGAAGAATGGAGAGGGTAGGAATGGGTCAACATAAAATTGAGTGTGTGAATGATGCACTCAATTCAGTGCTGGGATCATAATTGCTATTTCAATTATAAAAGGGTGAAAGTGCCCTCTAAGCATGGATGTTTCTTAAGGAGCCACTGGCCATCTTCTCCTTCTACATGTGGTCCTTCATAAGCCCAACCGACTTCGTAGCTTTAGTCAGTCTTGATTTTTCTTGTAGCCTGTCTTAATTTTCTTTTTTTTTGTATTAAATACAAATTTATTTGTATTCAGTAAATACATTAATTACCTACATTAAATACCTAGTATTTATTTTAGTTGTTTTTTATTTTAATTTTTTATTGTTTTTATTTTAATTTTTATTAGGATATATTTGTTATACAAGGAGGATTC